GCGCACAGGAATGCGTGGCAGCCACAGCAGCGCAGCTGCCCCTGCCTTAACACCGTGGTGGCAGCTAAAGTGTCCTTGGGTAGTCACAACTGCTCCCTCTTACATAAAGCCTCCCTGGCCCCAAGCCCTTTGAAAGGAAATGAGTAGCTAGGGGGACTTTTGACTAGCTAACATTTATGTCAACGCAAATCCCCTGGTAGCTCAGAGCCTCGTGGGAGCAACAAGTAGAGGATACGGTGGTAGCTTCTGTAGAGCTGGAAGTTTTAAGTCATCGATTTGCTGCAAGAAAAGCCTGGCTCAGCTGCGTGACCTATTTTGTGCAGGGAGCTTGACAGGACGGTCATTAATAGCACCTTACAGAGAAGAAGTTTACAAGAGGGAAGTGAAAGCATCTTTTTCCAAGTCACTGGTGAATACAGTTTACACTATATCTGGCTGTTGGCAAATCAGCCTGATGGTTTCTTGGAAACTCGCCTCCTTTGATGATATCCCTAAACATTGCAGAGTAGGAATTACTCTGTCAAATGCTGTCTCAGATTGTATACAGGCAATTGATTAAACTACGGATAAGGGATATTGAGAGAACTGCAAAAACACCTGCTAAATCATTTTGATTAATGATAGTACTGCATCCTCTGCATTTGAGTCCTGTTTAGTGTTGGCTTATTTACTTTTACTTTTTCCCTTCTTCCTCTATTCCAAGTAGTATATTTAGTCCAATAAGTAATCAAAAGCATTACATAAAACTGTCTGGCCTTGGAAACTGTTTTGTAGATACCTGACATGAGGCACAAGGAGTGTCTGTGGTGGCCAAATAGATACTAATCTCCCACCTAAACCTGTCACAATTCAGATTTAACTTGAGAGAGGACTTGATTATCTTAAACATCCAAGAAAGGTCATCCCTGCCCCAAGGGTGAATTCTAAATATGTCAGTTGAGGATGGTCCTGTGTTGCTATAATGTGGAATGTGGAAAGTTCTTGGTGGACAACAAAGCTAAACACTTTTCTCTCTTTCTTTTCTTTTTTTTTTTCCTTCTTTTTCTAGGGTTTGTGAGCTGGAAGAGCTAGGAGAGTTGTCTCCCTGTTGGGAAAGCCTTCGTCGACAAATAGTTACTCAGTACCAAACAATTATATTAACTTATCAAGAAAATCTAACAGACCTGCATCAGTATAAAGGTCAGCAAGATCTATTTTCGGTAATAAAATTATGCACCTTGGTTGTGCTTGTCAGTGTTCCTTTTAGGTTGGTATCCCAGAATGTCTTAGTTTGATGACTAAAAATACTATTCTATTTTCTTTTATTAACATTTATTATGAATTTGCTGGTGATCTGGGAATATTTTTCTTCTTCTTTCTCTTTATTTCACCCTGAAAGTTCAAAAAATTTTTGAGCAATGCTAGAAAGGCTGATTTTTGTGTATATTTTCCTCGTATCCTTACTTACAGCACAGAGCAAATGTTGAACTACTGTGAGTAGTTAAGCTTAGGAGAAGCAGAGGATTTTAAAAGTTCAGTTGCAGAATAATCATTTTTCTCTTGCATTTCCCAGGTCCTTCATTTAAAGCCAGTAGCCTGAAAGCTGATAAAAAGTTGGAATTCGTTCCCACAAATTTACATATACAGAGAATGAGAGTCCAGGATGATGCAGGATCAGGTATGTTTCTTCTTTTTCTCAATTTTTTCCATTTCTTTTTTCCTCCATTTTGGATTTCCATCCTCAACCCAAATTGAGTTTTCTCCATACTGTTGCTGTGTAGTAGTAATGCTACTTGACTTTTTTATAGCACTTTCCAATCTTGGATTCCAAATTTCTTTGCAAAAGAAGAGGTGTAAGTATAATTGTCCCTGTTTTAAAGGTGGCACAACTAAGTTCTGGACTTAACTGTGCCCGAGGCGGCACAAGTGAGCCTTGGTGCTGTTCAGCCCCTTGGTTTAAGCTGCTCTGCCCTTTCCAGTCTGCTGGATCTTATCAGGGTATTAAAGGCTCTGACTGTTGTTTGTTGCTAATTTTGTGTGCTTTTGATTTATATATTTATTTTTCCCTCTGGAAGCATCAAAATAAAATCATGCTAGTTCATTCACAAGCTTCTTCATATATAACCTATTTTTTTCCTTCTTTTAATGCCGATGACCACTAACCACAGACACATACTTGTACTGTGTGTATCCATATAAGGGATCCCTGTGATGGCAGTTTTAGGGTAGAGGCTCAAGGCTTCTTTTTCACTGTCAATCTTCTAGATCAGGAAACAGAGGATCTGCATTCAAACATGATTTTTTTTTTCACTTTAAAAGTACTTGATGAATTTCCAGGGCCTCTAAAACATTTCAGCTTTTCTGTGTCCTTCAAAATACTGGCACAAGGCTTTACAAAGTTACTTTCAGAGTAGTTTTTAAATTTCCCACAGCTGTTTGTCCACAGTAAAGATGACAAGCTTTCATTTGTAAGTCCTTTTTGTCCATCCCAGATCAGAACTACGACATAGTCACCATAGGAGCACCAGCAGCTCACTGTCAAGGCTTTAAATCAGGTGGCTTGCGGAAAAAGTTGCATAAATTTGAAGAAGCAAAGAAACAGTAAGTAGAAATATTTTTGTGTCAACTATTTCATACATTTTCCTAGTGCTTTATGCTCAGTGGTTTGGAAGATCATTGCATTCCATGTTTTTGTTGCACCTCATTCAGTAATTCTACTATACAATATGAAGATTAGTTCATGCTTTTCCAAAAAATAAGGAAAACAATTTCCCTTTTGCTTTACCATATTTGCTTGTTTACTGATAGGGTCTTTGTAGTGCTCTTTTTAGTGAAATCTTTAATTTTCTATAATACTTGTTGGATGAATTATTTTAGCCATTTTAAGTGTTAGGTTTGAGATTTGCCTAAGTTTACGTTAAAAATCTGTCTGTAGGACCTCCTTAGTTACACCACGTCACACTTTTACTCCATTATTTTCAGGAGATGTCTACCCCTATTATAGCTTCCAGGAGTTCAGGTTGCTGAATTGTCCCTAGTGCAAAACAGCTGTGCTTGATAGGCAGATTTCTCATTGACAGCTTGGGTTGAGCTGAATGAGTTGATCTTGGGTTGAATATTGAGGGAGTATTTTCTGTACTGCCTTGAGGTCTGTGCAGACCAAGTGCAGATCAGGCTTCTGAAAACCAGCTTCACTCTGCCCTACAGGCAGGATACATCACCCTCACAGTCCCTCTCTTCAGGGACTCTCTGGAAGTGCAACCATATGTACTGGAGGAAGAAGCAGAAACTGGGAAGGTCACATATGCTAAAGGAGCAGACCTGCATAGTGTCCAGACTGACTCCCAAAGAAAAGATATTGTCACCTGAGTCTGTGTTAAATTTGCTGCAATAGAGAGAATTTCAGGAACAGTGAGAGTGGCACTGCAGGGAATCACTGTAGCCAGGGAACAGAGTCCTTGGAAATGCTCTTCCAAAAGAAGGGATTGATGGTGGGGAGCTGATGTAAGGAATGAGTGATGCAGTCAAGCATCAGACTGCTTGAAGCAGTCAAGCTCTGCCAGCTTGGAGAATCAGTTTTGGCAGTGGATAAGTCAATAGCAGCATCCTGTGAAAATCAGTCAAATGTATAGAAAGAGCAGTACAAAAATCTGTAATTGTTCCTGACTTACCAAGTGGGCTAGGGTAAAACTGCAGGAAACTGAGCCTGGAAGCACTGCTACACTTAAGTTCTCCCTTCCTGTTCCCTGCACGCCAATATTGCTTTCTGAAACACCCTCCTTCTGTCACCTTACATGGGTCTTGCTCATTCAAGGCCCTATGTAATTTTTATTCTCTCACATTAAGCAAGCTGATCAGAGAGCTTAATTTCCATCCAGTGCTTTTGCTCTAAGCATTGTAGAATTCATCTTTCTGAGTCCAGGAAAACTGCAGGTTCCACATTTGAAGGACGAGTTTTCTGTGATAGTATTTTCATAGGCTGTGGACCTTTTGCTGCTCTGGAGAATTATTTTTGGGAATTTTCCTGTTCCAGCATTCACTTAGAAGGCAGTTAGCACTTTTGTAGTAATTTATTCCGGGTCACGTAAAAGCAAACAGGGACATGTCCATACAGAGAATCATGATAGATTTTTGATACAGAAGATTAGAAAATCAAGTGTTAATTATCACATATTTCATCTAATCTGTTTAGCTGGTATTTCTGTTTCAGAGCATTTATTACACTCATTTATTGGAACTGTAGAAAACCCCCGCAAAATCCTGAAATATTCTGTGGTTTGAGGTTTCCAAAATGGTCTTTGAAAGACCTTGTACTGTGTAATTGAGACCTGCTGTCATGTGCTTAAGGTTTAAAACCAGCACTGTGGGCCACAGCCCCCAGAAATTGAACAATTTCAAAGCATGAACTTGAAGTACCACGGCATAAATTGAGTCAATAAGGAAGAGCCACTTCCAGTTTGAAATGTGCTAAACAACTCCAGCAGCAACAACGATCTGCAGGTAGAGCCAGACTACAAGCAGGAGTGGTGGGATTCACGTCCTCCATTTCCAATGTCTTTAGTGCAGATGTGAACACCTGAGCTCGGTGTCCTGGCGCATACCTGTGGACGAGGGGCGAGGTGCCCTCACTTAGGTATCTACAATCAGTGAGGTTTCCTGTTTCTCTCCGTGGACTGTGCAGGTGGTGTAGGATGACTAGCTCAGATGCAGATGTTTATGGTATAGGTGCTTGAAGCAGGGTGAGGTGCGTCCAATCCTAACTTTCTGTTGTCAGTGGTAATTCTAGGTCTTATGTTATAAACAAGTTAATGTTCAGGATTGCAGTGGCCCCTGCTAGCCTAAAGCACATCAAGAGCAGGCTCTTGACTAGGATTATTGATAAACCTATTATGTTGCATTATGTATCCCATGGCTTAGTAGTTGATTAAAATATATCGTAAATCTAATTGGCATATGTACTGATATGGCCGTATGAATTTCATCTTGGCTGTTAATGTAAAATACAATTTTAGGATTGTGAAGGCAAGGGGACTTTTTTTTAAGCATTACTTGCTTATCATACAAACCCCTATAGTAAAATCGAGTTTCATCTCTTTGATTTCCCTCTTATGTAGCTATTGTTCAATTCTTTTATCTTTCACTGGCAAAATCCGTCTTTGCGAACCCACGACATTTCCCCCAAGCTAGACACGTGGTGATGTGGCAATCTGTGTTTTTGGCTTACAAGTTTAATCGTATGTAGTTGCCTTGTTGAAAACATGACATAGATGTTATTTCCTCAAGCATCCTTTGCTTTGTTTTCTGCTTTTGGTATTTGCTAACAATCTGCTAATTTTATTTTGGTTTTTCATTTTTTTTAGCAGTTATGAGGAGTGTTGGTGAGTTTTCTGTTTCTGAGTGTTCCGTAGAGAGGGTTTCTGTTCCTTGGGTTGTTTTGTTTTGCTTTGTTTCCTTTTTCTTTTCTTTGGCAAAGACCTAGTGTGTTTTAAAATGTGCAGGGCTTTTTAATGTCATGCATCATGGCACCCCTCATCGTGCTCTAAATGACTGCAGCTACTTTGTAGAACATGATGTATGAATGGATTTCATTTCATCTGCAATGTTTGTTTGTAATGAACAGCTGCTTCCTGGCTCTCTCAGGTCAGCAGTTAGAAAGCTGCAGATCAGAAAAAAAAAAAAAGAATTTTTATCTTTTCATCTGTTATTTCTGGTGAGAACAGAAGATAGTAGAAGATAATGAAGATAATACTATTTTATTACATTTATGGTAACATACTGGGCATGGTTTATGGTTTTGTAATCCATGTCTTCACTGAAACATTTTCACCAGATCTTTATGTATTTTTCTTCATGTCATGGTGCTCAGAGCTATAAAAAGCAGTCGTTACTTGATGGTTGAACAGTGCAGAAGTTCTGCTCTAAATTACTTACATTTAGGGTTGAATCTCTAATCCACTGAGAGCTCTAAGCTTATGTTATAGCTTACTTATGTAGCCCAGTGAGAGCTGTTCATTTGAAAAAGCAATTGCAGGTTGGAAAGATTATATATGTGAACCTTACACCATACAATCTCCCCCAATCATCCCCGCAAATGTTTGTGATTAAACAAATAATAATTCTAAGTGAGATCTCAATATGCTGCATGGCCTTTCCTGCCAACTACTTCATCTTTGTGCATGTTAATCACGCCGTAGTGGAAATAAATTGCTCAGAGGAATCGTCACTAAGATCTCCAGTCAGTGCAGAGCGTAAGTCACGTGCACCCCAAGACCTAAAAGCTGAGGTTTATTTTCTCAGTGGCTTGTGGCAGTCCTGGGCAGCGCTCTCTGGGACACAAATAAGGAAACTCCTTCAGGGATCCTTTCTGCTCCTCTGCCCTTTGAAAATGACCTTGTTTCAACAGAAACCCCAACGGATTAATCAAGCTCCCCTCTTACCGTAGGGTCCGTTGAGCGGCACGAAGCCCCCCGGCTGGCGCCAGCGGCCGTTGTTTTGGAGCGCGGCCCGCGCAGCTCTCCCGTTTTACCTCACAGACTCCCTGCGGAGGTGACAGCGGCGGCTCCACCCGGGGCTGCTCGTGGGCTGGGGATGGAGGCGACCCGCAGCCTCCGTCCTCCTTCCTGCTTCATCCCGTAGCAGGGGGGTGATGTCCGCGCTGAGCCCGGTGCTGGCAGTAGCTGCTCTGGCACTGAGGCTGCGCTGAATCCGTTTATCGCTGCAAGAAATGAATGTAACAAAATTAAGATACAGTGCGATAGGTGACACCTCTTGATGCCACCGCACGAACAGGATGTGACTTTTGGCACAGCTGGAGCTGGAATATCGGCCTCATATTTGCACAGCTTTCGTACCGGGGGAGAAAACACAACACGTTATTTGGCAAAGGGAGAGATGGCAGCTTGATTCCAAGTAATCCGGCTGTTATGCAACTTCAGCCATCTGAAAGCCAATTTTTTTTCCCTTCCACCCCCGAGTAGACAGAATCAGTGGAGCCACAGTAGGCCAACCTATGTTTTACTGGTATAGGTTGCTTCCCTTCCTAGTTGGAGAAAAGGTTGCTTTTGCTGATACAGCTCAAATTAAGCCTGCAACAGGGAAAAGTGCCTAACATCAGAAGGCGTTTCTAGCAATACAGCAGTGTCTGCACAAGGACTTGAGGCAGTGTTTCTGTGTTGGGCAGAGCGCAGATCTTCTTTCCACAATGCTAACGGGTAGTTTATATACCCAGCCTCAGTGGACATCCATGTGGTAAGGAGAGGTAGAGTGGGGCAAACTGTCCACAAACACAATGTTTCCATCTGTGGTGGAAAATCACGTTCTTCCCAGCAAAACTGACCCTTTAGGATAGGAGCCCGGCCCTCAGTCACCTGGCATAGTGAATTTGCATCTGACTGCTCCTGGTAAAGGCAGAGAGGCTCTAGGGTCGTGTTCCTGCTGTGCAATTGCCCACTGGCCTTTCACTGTTGATCGCTATCATAGGTGATTTTTTGTTGTCTGCCATTAATTCCCCAGCATGCCGCTGTAGCGTGTGTACGCCCAGATCAATTTTCCCCCTAAAATCATTCCTTCTCTTTCAGCACTTCCACAAGCTCCCAGTCTATAATCTACATCCCACAGGACATCGTTAGAGCAAAGGAAATCATTGCACAAATCAACACCCTGAAAACTCAAGTCAGTTACTATGCGGAAAGGCTCTCAAGAGCTGCCAAGGATAGATCAGCTAATGGTCTTGAAAGAACGCTTGCCATCCTGGCAGACAAGGTAGGAGAATAATATGCCCCCAAAGTACAGCATATTCTGTAGCACACTGTGTTTTTTTAATCTCTCTTTCTTTAGTGAGTTTTCCTGAAACATTTATTTTACCATGTACAGTAATATATTGTACCACACAGAGTCTTAAAAAACAGGAAAATCAGATCAGCCTTTTGAATTCACTGCATTTATTGGAGTTTTCTCCTACCCTTCACACCTATCTGCCTCTGCCTTCTCTTGAGAGTGGAGAGCCAAGAGTTGTAAAAGTGTCCTCTGCTATCCTCTATTCAGTCATCATATTCCAGAAATGAGCATTCCTTATTTTCTTTCATCCCCCTTTCTTTATAACCATTTTTTTTTCTTTTATGTCTCTATTAAGCATCTGAACACAATCTTCCACTGCAGTTGAACACAACCTTATTTACAGGGGCACAAAGCAAACAGGTGACCTCTTCTGTCTACAAAGGAGATCTGAGCTTTCTAAATAGTAGTAATAGCAGCTATGTATGTTCAACCATCTTGCCATAAGTTGACCCAGGTGAGGGGATACGTATTCAGCTTCCTGGAGTGCAAAAAATGTGATCACCTATAGGTGTATTAGTCGTTATAATATTCATTCTAAATGAATACAGCAATTTATTGTGCAGCAATGTGCAATTAATCTGTGGGAAAAGTAGCAGCTGGGTAGTAGTATAACTTAGTACAGGCTTGTTTTTTTTTTTTTTAGGCATATAGATGAATTGGATTCTTAAGCACGTAACTTACAGAAATCCTGTAATATATAACCACTAAATATGACAAGGAACATGCTGCACTGGTTAGGAGAGTATGTCTTTAGCCTTTCTCTTGAGACTTCCTTGCTATTGACACTGGGCGGTAGAGGTTAAAAATTGGTTTATCTGCTGTGGAACTTCTGGGTATTGTAAGACAAAACATCTCCACATTGTTTTAACCTTACATCCAATGGAGAGTGGCATGCTAAAAAACATGTTGAGAATTGCAGGTTTATTAGTGAATTTTTCAATAAGAGGCTAAAACAGTTGCATGACCTTTGGAAATCGTATCCTTTGTAGTTTGACATCTTATATATCTTTCTAAGGTATGCTATAAAATGATTTTAAAGACATCTCAGACACTGCTTAAGGATGGTTATTTTATTTTAAAAAGAAGAGATGTACAAAAAAAATGCATACAGAATGATGGAAATGTTTTAAATTGTGGGGATTTTATTGCTTTTTAGACCCGGCAACTTGTCACAGTCTGTGACTGCAAGCTGTTGGCAAATTCAATACATGGACTGAATGCTGCAAGGCCAGATTACATAGCTTCCAAGGCTTCCCCAACCTCTGGGGAAGGGGAACAAGTGATGCTGAGGAATGACCAAGACACACTTGTGGCCAGATGGACAGGAAGAAATAGTCGATCTTCTTTGCAGGTGGATTGGCACGAAGAGGAATGGGTAGGTTTGCTCAGGAGAGTGATGAATGTTTTCTTCCTTTCAGTTTCTAGCTGCTGTGTTCTTTACTTTGTAAGCTCTATAACTGCTCATCAGAGATGCGAAGGATACGTATTTTGGAGCACATTATTATGTGTCTTAGTCATCTACTAGAGATACTGGTAAACTAGAAAAGTCAAGCCTTAATAAATAATTCTGTGTCTCTGGAACAACAGAGATGGTTACTTTTGTTCCAAGGGAAAATAAACAGATTTTAAAGCAAACAACTGAGGATCATACTACAAGGGGCTCTTAGACTTCACCAAAATAAACACATTTTGTGTGTGTTAGCTGTACAATGCAACTTTGCAAACTTTTCTCCTGTTTTATTTCCTGACCTAAATATTTTAGAACTTACCATCTATCTCTATTTTGTTAAAAACAACTTTTTAAAACTGTTTGCACTAAGGATTTAAGTGTTTTTCCACTCAACTCTGCCAATTTAAATAAGAATTGGCCTGTGTTAAGTACTGTCATTTGTAATAAAAACAGAAATGAACTAGATTTCAAAAAATAGTCCAGATTAATTAGAACAGTTATTAATTTTATGAACTATCAATGTAGAAATGGAATCCAGTTTATTTGTAAAATAGATCCTCGCACGATCTAATTGTTTTGATGTGCTTTAATTTTCAGTCAGAATGAGACACTAATAAAGTCAGTTCAGTTGATTAGATGCTAATATTGCTGTACAGTAATTTTGTTACTGGCAGAGTTATATTGGAAAATAATTACTATGTAATCTTTTTCATCTATCAATAGTGGTTTTACTATTAAGTTAGTACAATGGAGTTATTTTTTATACAATGCAGACTTGATACCTAGATCATTCCAAGTCTTTATAATAATTTCAGAAGTCTTTTGAATAGTTTTAATTAATGTTTCTATGATGTACTGTATTTTTTATTCCTTCATCTCAGTTCCTTTGACTGGAGCTACAAAAGCAGCATTTACCTTTATAGAAATAGTAGCTTTAAAATATTGACCAAAGAGACCAGCACTGTGTAAATAAAAGTGGTCATTGCCTTCTCCCCTCATACTTCTAAAATTAGCTAAAACTTCTCTTGCTTACTTAATTAGCTTACTTCTGGGCCCACCTATGCTTGGGAGGGAATGCTGTGCCCTCTTCTGCATTCCTAGCCTTGAGAAGAATGGGAGACATCCTCTTCTACAAACATTTTGACAGGATAAAAGGCTCAGGATTGCTGAATTCTAATCACTCTGGGCACTAAGGAAATACATCTTTAAAGGAGAAAAGTCAGCAAAAGTGAGGAAATGTTTCCCAGTCAAGCATAAGTTTCAAAAATAGAAATTGAAGCCCTTTAGAAATTGCAATAGTGAATCATGGGTTAAAGAAACATGTAGAATTGTTCAGCAAATTTAATTTTAACATAGCTCTTCAGTTTATCACGTGACACCTCTACATGTTGATGTGCTCATATATTTATATATACAGAGTTTGTGTGTGCACAAATGTAGCCACAAGAGCCCAGAAGCAACTTTGCTTAGAATCATGCCAGGAAATGTATGTGCCAAGGGATTTGTTGCCCACTGTCTCTTTCCTTTCTTAAAAAAAAGTTGAGAAGAAAATGTTTTTCTTTCAAGGAGAAGGTGTGGTTGAATGTTGACAAAAGTCTGGAGTGTATTATACAGAGGGTGGACAAACTCCTCCAGAAGGAGCGCTTGCAGAGCGACAGCTGCGAAGACGTTTTCCAGTGCGACACCAGCTGCACGAGTAAGAAAGGTAATCGGGACACTCGCGCCTACTGGATAAATCCAGAAGACTTAAGTGAGATCTCCTCTCCACCTTCATCATCCTCACCAGCACCTCCATCCACACCACCTTGTGCATGCCATGCTCTCAGAAACACACGTGCGTATGCCCAGCGCGCCCCCCGCTGCCACGCTCCCGCCGCGTGCTCGCCGCCTCCCCAGCCCGCTGCCTCCTCCCGCAGGGCCTCGCTGCCGAGCGCGGGCTCCAGCAGAGAGGGCTGGCGCCAGCAGCCACGAGGCCTCTTGCTTGGGCAGGGATCCTGCTCCAGCTGGAGTCGCTCCTCTCGATGCCACCGGGATTCCACCTTCCCTGGTGGCCCTGGGGTTTCTCTGGGGGCTCCTGTTGCAATCGAGGCTTAGAACAGGGAACCTCTATAGAGGGTTAAATAAAACGTGGAAGAAATGCAGGCACCACTGCAGCAGTAACAGTCCCAGCTGGGCTGCCAAAGGGTAGGAGGATCACCAGGCAGGCCGCTAGACTGAGCGAAACTTGGGTGAACTTCCTGGAGTTTTAAGCAGATATTAACCCAAATTGTCAAAACTGTGCTGCTGAAGCGCTTGATTAGTTAGATCTCATATAGCTGGAAGGTAGGAATTGGCACTGCAAGTTTGCAGTGGAATAATCCTGTCAAAATCTGAGGTCATGACGGTACTGAGGAGAATCCAGGTGCATAATGCCAGGAGCCTGCGAATGAGAGGGATCCTTACCAGTTTAGGTTGATAGTTTTGCAGCCTAGCATTATATTTCAAAGTTATTTCATTTCCATATATACACATTTGGCTTATTCTCCCATTCTTTGCTTTAAGAAATTGTCACGGTCCCTATCATTTTCCCATTTAATAGAACAAGTTTAACTCTAGAAAGAGAGATTTCTGCTTTCATTTACTTATTCCTGCTCTGTTTTAATCATTTCATGGCTCTTCCTTCCTCCCATATGTCTATGACTTCATGTCCATTCACCTCAACATCGCAGTAAAATTGGAAGGCAGTACCTTAACGGAAAAAGAAAAAATGGAAAAAAAAGAAAAGAAAACAAGAGGGAGGTTAAAAGAAATGTTTAGATACTATTTAGTATGGCTTTGTACCTCTGTTGCTTTTGATTTGCTTAATATTCTAAATGACTGTGGTTTCCAAGGTTAGGCTGATATTTTGGGGTATTATAAAGAAATAGGGGGGAAAAGTCTTGTTTCAGAATGTGTCCTCTATTAATATTTATGCCTAGGTTGTGTTTTACCAGTTTGTCAGCTTTAAATGTGCTATCTGCTTTTATGAAGTTTTATGTACATTTACACAAAGTTTTATCAGTAAACTTCAATGCACTTTCATATCAACAATAGCAAGTTTTGAATTTTTAATATTATAAAAAGAATAGGAAAAATGTCTGTGGTGAGTGGTATCAGAAGCTTTTCCCAAGGCAATTCCATGCTAAAAGCATCTTTAAACAATCTCTTTTTTTCTTTCAAAATTTACACAGAATTTTCAGTCAAAATTTTACCTCTGCTCTGGATCTCACTTATGTCATACCAAAGAGGAATTAGCTGCATTAGTTACGTTCCCTCCCATGCCTCTGAAACAGGAAAAATAATCCCTTTTAATCCACAGAACTTGACAAATTAAACCAAGACATGTATCAAGCTTTAAAGTTGAGTGTTTGCCATGTCCCACTATGACTGAAGTTTAAGGACTAGACTGGAAGTCTTAAGCACTATCAACCAAAGCCTTGCCTGAACAGAGCTTAAAAAATCCTCAAGAGGGAATTCTGTTTCTTAGGTATCTGATGCAAGACATTTTTCCTAGTTGTTTTTGACGGAGGAACAGCTTCAATGTTATAAGAAAACATGAACTCATTGAAATCAATTGGAATTTTTCCCTCAAATTCATTTCTTTTTCTCCACCCCAAAAGCTGCTATCACTCTCCACAGCTGATCTTACAAATAACTGAAAAAAAGCTTGTCCATTCTCTAGGTTTAGATGCCAAAATTTTAACATTTTTCTTGTGATCTGTTCAAAGAAGTAGCGCTTTATTAATCGACATTTTGTCAGATGAACAAATGAATAGATAAGCAGCCAAAACTTTGTTTGAATGCAATGTTAAAAAATAAAGCAAACAAGATAAAGCATAATCCTATATACTTCCAGAGTTGGTCAGAGATGCAGTAAAATGCTACTGAAGGACTTTAAAAGCCCTCTTTAGTGGTGAATGTTTCAAAAAGAGATACTGCCTAAAATAGAGGAGACTTAAGATTTTTTTTCTTTTATTTTCATTATAGACTCAGATATTCATTATGAAAATGTATTTTCTTTAATGAATACTTAGGGTATTAACAGGTTGTCTTTAGGCTTATAATTGAATTTGTTATTTTCTGCTGTTATTTTCAAATCTGTGATTCCATTGACCAGTGAATCTAGATATGAATGCAAGGGACATTCAAATCTGCTAGCTTAAGAAATGGCTGTGCTTTAATGCAAGATGTGTTGCAGCGAGGTGTATTGTCCTTCTACATTTTGCCCTGCACCATAGCTATTTTCATCTGACAAACTGTTCCTACCACCGAAGTGAGTGTGAAGCTGTCACGAGCTTCGCTGGGGAGATTTGAGCTTTTAACACACCGTGCAGTGCGGGTGTTAACTGTCTCAGAAATTGTACAGCAGAAAATTGTCTAAAATAGCAAAATGCTGATGCTCTCGCAGCGTGAGGCACCTTGTTTTCCGTTAAGCACACGAGCACTACTGCTAGTCTTTTGCTATTCCGTTTAGCTGCCTTATTGCCAGCTTATTTTGTAATTGCACTAAGCCAGTGGTTCTCAAACGGGGCTTGTGATCGCTGGGGATCGGCAGCGCCGCGGGGCCATCCCCGGGGAGCCGCCGTGGCCCCATCCCGACGACCCCGTGCTCGGGGATGGTGGCGTGGGGGGACAGCCCGGGGCCAGGGACTGGCTCTGCTAAGCTGCAGCTTGCTCCAAGATGCCCAGCCCCGAGCGTTTGAGTTGCTGATGTTCAGAGTGTGTTGCTGCTCCCTAATCATGCATGTTGCCCCTCCATTTCTGTGCAGATTGCAGCCCCGCTCCGGAGGAATCCGGCCCAGGTATGTGCGTTCATGGCTTCCGCTTCTTCCGAGAACGGCAGGTTTTTGTTTGTACCCAAACCACCCAACAAGGGCCTTGCTGATGACACTGACCCTTACGGAACGGTAAACGCGCTGCAGCATCGTGTGGTTTGCCTGGGCGCACTGGGAAGCTGTAATTTCCCAAATACCAGTGCAATAGGGTGTCCGGTAAGCGCTGGTCACTCAGTTTTCATGTCTGAACATCAGAGAACATTTGTTGCTGTTCTCTCCGGTTGACACATGTGAATAAACTCATGTGGGAGGCAACATTTAGGGCTTGCTCCCGGTGTCGGTGAAGCCTGCGGGAGGCTGATGTGAAGGTGTTTTCAGACATGCCCTTTCACATGTCCTGGAGAAGCTGCTTTCCAAATGAGGCCTCGAACATGGAGCAGCCACCAGGGCTGAGGGAAACCCACGTGGCCTACGTAGGCACCAGGCAAGCTTCAGGTTTCAGAAGGTTCAGTTAAGACTTTGACCAAACTGTTCACCTTCCTCCTTCTCTCCCTGTAGTTCCTCACACTGTTGTGATACTTACAAGGTCTGAACACCTCAGTAACACCACTCATTCCTAGCTAGATGGCTGTAATTTTTCCAGTCTGAGATTAGTTTAGTCAGAGCTGTGTGAAGGTTTAATTTGAGGATGGTTTCAGCAGGGGCCTCCTGGGTTTAGCAAAGCCACTGGGCTTTGCCCTCACAACCTAAACACTGAAAGACTCAAGATACCTGGTCCAGGCTCTGGAATCCAGTTATTACAATATTTTTGCTGTTCTGGAGAAGAAAGACTCTTATCAAAAATAAAACCTTTTCCCACATATATGTTAAGATCTCTGATTTATAGAGAGAGGCTCCACTATGTGACTTGATAGGCCTTCAAAGCACCTCTTTTTTATTTTCTTTTTTTACATGCAACATGTCAAAGTGTGCCTTAAAATATGGTTTTACTCAGCGCTGCTCATAAGAAAAGCAGAAACGACTTCCAGAGCCAAGCCTGACCCTTATTTACCAAACAGAGTTCAGCTGCAGCTGTTAGAGAGGAGGCTGTAGGATGTGTCTCTTGCCATGCAACGTGTGTCTATAAAACACACAAAGCTAATGACAGACTTCCTGCTGGTTTGTACCGTGCCAGCTTTTAAATGTGCAGTAACTTTCAACATGAACTAGAGACCTCTGATAAAAATGGGATTTATGTCCAAAATGTATCCCAAGCTGGCCTGGGGACAGCCTCCAGCTGTTGTAAATCTGCAGCAATTCCGTCTATCACCATTGATGTGAGGCCCTAAACCAACTTCCTCTATCTATGGATTTGCCTAGTAGAGTCAATAATAGTTTAAAAATATTCTGATCCTGAAATAAAACACAAGAATGGAGCTCAGAATAGATTTCTCCTTAGAGTGCTCGTGGTGGTTGAAAGTGCCACTGGTTAATTTTATAGAACATGCGCTTGCAGAAATAAAGGTCTCCGAAGGAGATTAATGAGACAAAGACAGAGTAAGGAAGTGAACATGAACACAGAGAGCCCTTATATTTAAAAGCTGTTACTTGAATGTGCCACCCTGATTGGAACATTTGGGGGTGATTTCTTTTATTCCTGATTCCTGTTAATGGCAGCTACCAGGCCTGAGCACGGGACTTGGACTAGAGGTCCCAGCCAATCTCACCTCTTCTGTGATTTGGTGCTACTTTAGGATTGCCATACCTTTTAAACAAAGTATTGCCAAGCACCCTACGATTTTAAATCATCATGGAGTTACTTAAGTATATACACATATGAATATCCAGGCAAGTGAATGATGATGTGCCAGATCTCTTCAATTTTTTGTCACTCATCCCTGCATAGCAAAGCTCTTAAGTGCAATAAGAGAAACACTTCATTAGTATCATCTGTGTTTTGCTTTCATAGTGTTCACAGGTCCATGTTATGACATTTATTTTATTTTGAGAGGAAAGTATTTAATAGAATATAAAAGATAGGCCATAATTCTTTGTTCTTTTGATGTTTCCTGCACTCTTAAGTAAGCTGATGAAGCAGAGCCAAATAACTTCCCCTTTATCTAGTTTATGAGATTGTCTCTCTGCCGCATAGAACAAAAGCAAGGACAGTGCTGTGAATCTTGTCGGTTATGTTTCTGCTAGCAGACTTCCAAAGTTCCCCGCTTTGGATGGTTATCAAAGAAACGGGTGTTATTACTGGCTCTTAGCCCTGCCTTTCAGTTGAAGTTGTGAACAGCTTCCTCTCAGGCCTGGTGTGACCCCATGCTCAGGGGTTCAGCTCTGTGCATGGCCCCTTTCTCAGTACAGCCATCCGGGCTGGTGCAACTCCTGTTGGAGAGCTCTGGTGCTTCTCCCTAATGAAACACATCGTTCTTCCCTCCAAAGGGAAGTGTCCTGGTTTAGCCTTACATGAAAGAGGGCAGAACCAAAACACTGTTCTGTCCTCTCCTTATGCTGCAGAGAAAACTTTTCACATGCTTGTGAAAATGTATTTAAAAAATTGGTGGCCAGCTAAGACAGAAGGTGAAAGAAGGCTGGAAAGGAAATGAGCTAGTGGGGCATTTCAAGGCAGAGCCTTCTCTTTAGGGAGAGTTAACAGTGCTTGAGGTGCTGAAATAGGGCTCTGGCAGCCCAATTTCTTTTCGTTGTCCCCAGTCATACTGGGGCACGTCTCATATGTCTCAGTGGGAGTCCAGCCCCTACAGCTTCCAAGGATCTGACTAGTGCCCCTCTGGGCCCCTGCGCGTTTATACTGGCTAGCTCTAAGCCTTCTAAGCCACTGGGCAGATGGAGGACACTTAAAAGAGAGGGAACATGAATTCATACCTATCTACCCTTACAATTAGCGTGCTGCAAATGAGAAATGAACCTTGCTGAGGTGCTGTGGAAGGATAAATAATTTTAAGATAGTGAGGCAGTTAAACAATATTATCATGAGTCCACAAAATTTCAGAGACAGGAGTATCTGGAAGAAATCTCATTGACAGAGGTGGCCAGAAAGATGGATCCTCCATGCTGTGTTCCTGCACTGTGAAAGGGTGTGTTTGAACATGCACACACATTTATATACCCTTGTGTGTACAGATATGCCTCTTCCTGTTATGCTTTCCAAACAGCTATTGTATGGCCTGTTCTGGGAATCAAATCTGAGAGCTATTACATGGCTGGGAAATTCTTAACAACCTTCTAGAGTCGAAGTCTGCATGTTTTCCTCCTTTGAGGAAGGAAACAAGTAGGGATTCACCAGACAGCCAGAGTAAAACAAGCACTAAGTGTAGATCATTTTGCTTTAACTTGCAACAGAAGATTTTATCTTAATATGTGTGTGTTTCAAAGTACTTCGAGTGACATTAATTTCATTTTTCCACCCAGGTGAATGGAGCGAGGCTCTTTACCCCTTGCTGACGACACTCACGGACTGTGTAGCCATGATGAGTGACAAGGCCAAGAAAGCCATGGTCTTTTTATTGATGCAGGACAGTGCTCCAACGATAGGGCTCTGCCTGAGCCTTCAGTATCGCAGGGACGTTGTCTTCTGCCAAACTGTAAGCAAAGAAGTTTGCATGGTCTGATTACACTCAGACCTGTGCTGGGATTTTATGAAGTATGGCAGATGTCTGCAGAATTTTTCTGAGCTAATTTTACCCTGAGGTTGAACACTGTGATCTCCTCTCACAGACTGTGCTGTGCTGTTATTACTGTTCACTTTCATGTGTTTGGGAACTGGGAAACAGTGAAAATAATGCTGTATACAGAAACAACCTTTGCTTCCCGATGCCACTGATCCAAAGCCAGAAGTGTGAAAGAGAAAGGAGGGGGGAAAAAAACCTATAGGCAGAAAGTGTACTCCCACACTTATATTTGCATAAGGAAAGCCATTAGGACCTTTAATACCTAAGGAGAGAATTCCAGCCCCAAGGAGAGGAATAGGTGCTGGAATTTTATTAAAGTCCTTTTTCGAGACCTGTTGGGATCTCTTTTGTGTCAGCCACTCTCTAGGAGATGTCTGGAGGCAACTTCCATGCTTTTTCTGCCCACTGTATTTCTTCAGCTTGTCTTTTGTCCTGTGCAAACATTTCATATAATAAGAATCAATGCCTTGTTTATTTATTTCAAACAGTTAATCTCTTGTACATTGTCTGGTAGAACAGTTGTCCCAAACTGTAGTTTCTCATAGAGATAAATGCAGATAATTTTTCCATACTCAGCCCACTTCACAGATAATTTTGTTTAACTGAGTGCTTTGGCTGTGTTTACTCATCATGAAGATCAGAAAGCCCAAATTACAAGACTTAATCTCAGCATCAGGGCCTTGTTCTGAATGTTTCATAACACTTCAGAGTTCAAATCTTTATGTAATACAAACAGCCATTGCCTTTTTAAAGCATTCTGAAAATGTCATTTTAAAAACAATAATTTAATCATGCTATCAAAATTCTTGGCTTTGAACTAGTTGTGTTGCTTTCCCATCTGCAACTGTAACTAAAACATTTTTTCAGAGACTTGTAATTCTCCAATTGTGGATTCTAGTACAAGTGGTTATGTCA